ACGAGTAAAGACACCAAAAAATGAGATTTAACTAGTGGAAAGAGCTTTCTCTAGATAGTACCCTCTAAATAAGCACAAACTACGTTGAATATCTGCTGAAAGCGGTTACCACTACAATCTCTAAGAAAATGCTCAAAAGTATATGACCATCAACTTATAAAGAATACCTGTTTCTGCAAGGACATGATCATCATTGTTGATCCACACAATGCAACACCATGAGTAAGATTAATCCTATCAAAATTGTACATGACAAAGTGAGCTATGCATCCTTTCTGGAATTATCAGATTTAGAGAAAGACGATTGATCGAAGAACTTATGTTTAATCAGTGAAAGAAGGTTGAAAATTTTGCTTACCTCTAAATCAATAGTGAAAAAAGTATAAATTTCTAAACTATAGTTGATCAAAGGAAGCGCTTCGTGATTCGGGTAAACCATAGGAATCGTAATAAGCTGGTCAGGAGCCTGTATTAAATATTACACTATTTACTACAGCATTAATATGATGAGCGAAATTCTTACAGGTGCTGTTGTTGCCACAACCATGTACTTGCCATCATCCGTGAAAAGCATGCAATCCGTACGTAACAAGGCACTTTCAAGACGCGAAGAACCCATCATCATCATCACTTCAGATTGCAATGAGAACAGGCGCTGGAAAGAAGTCATAGCATGCAAGCAACAAAACAAAAAACAAAAGCGTAAAGTGGTACCTCACACAGATCTTCAGGGGCACTACCGCGAGCCCTTTCCACACCCAAATAACGAAAAATCCTAACAGATCGTAAATTTATACGGAATGTAATCAAACGCGATCCATCTGGAGTCCAAGAAACAACATGATCTTGCATATGGCGGGTTTCTGGAACCTATACAAAAGAGATTTTCCACCCTAAAGTTGAAGGTGATGTAGGAGCAAAAGCTAGAATTACCTCTACTACTCTATCCATGGCCACTGTTGAATAGAACTCTCGCCGATTTCGAACATGACGTACGCCTAAAAGTAGAATTTACGTGAGATTATGGTGTTTGTAGTGAACAATTTGAAATATTTTTACTCTTAACCAGGAAATGAAGAAAGCTGGCTTTAGTTTTGATCTACTACGAATGGAAGAGAAAAACAACCGCTCCAATTTTGAGGCGTATATGTATATATATATATATATTTATTTATTTATTTATAATTTTACGATAACACCACTCTTATGCATAACTCACCATTCCTAGAACAACCTCGTTCCCTTTCGGCCAACATCAGCACTAAATTCCCGCTAGGTCGCACATACGCTTGTCTTTCTTGCCAGCCTCTGACGAAGTCTGAACAAGACGAGGATGGTCCTGGTTGGGAGTCGCAACCTGACGATCCAGAGGAACTCTCATCCACCATATTACACTCCCTCAAGGCTAGCCCTTCGAAAAATTTTGGTCCAAGACTACAATAGGACTAAGCAAATACAATTAAATGATGAACATAAACATGGAATCGTTTCACGAGTGACTCTATGATCTCTAGTAGAACAATCACCTCATTTATCTATACTCTACATTTCAGCAAAATACAATCTAATGAATCTTGTTCCACGAAAAGTGATCAGGTTCAAAATGTCCAATTGGTGGATGATTCTCGAGAAATGCCTTATCCAGTTTGCCCTCACGATAAAGCTTGCGCCGCTGGGCAGCTATAGCAGCGGCACGCTGAAAGAGATTGAATGGGTAAAGTGAAGGAAAATCAAGCTAAAAACCAACTTCAAGAGACAAAATCCTAACTTTAAACAAGAAGGCTTGTAGGGATTTATCGGAGTTGAATTAGAGAGACGTCTAAGAGTGCTATTAGTGTGATATGGAAAGCTCAAACCCATTGCCTATTATTTCTCCAT